ATCCCCCCCCCCCCCCCCCCCCCTTTTAGGAAGAGATCTTGCTGTGAAGACCATGACTATTGGACATACTGTGGAGAAGTGAGACTGATTCTATGAGCAGTCTTTTAATAAGTCATTTAGAACCTTAAACTGTCTGACAGTATTTTGCAGCAAACTACCCAACCTGAAGTTGCTCCACTGTTATATGTAAGGGGCAACTGTGACTCCAAGATGTCTGTAAATCTACCTTCAATCGTTTGGTTTTGGTTCCCAGAAGACTTTCTAGAGATTAAGTTCTGTCATGCATTAAAACTTAAGATCTCTTTCAAGACTTACAAAATTATGCTGAAAAATGTAAGTTCTCCAAAAGGGAGTTTAAACAGTCCAGTATTGTTAAATGTGCTTCATAGATGTTACAAATGGCACAAGTGTTCAGTGTAACTTGCTCTGAATTTAGGGTTGATGGTAAGTGCTGTGAAAAGTTTTCGTCTTTTGTGAGACTTCTCTTGTTACGAGCCAAACTTGTGCCACAGTATGGCAATGTTCTAGTTTTTTTGAGGTTTGGAAGTGGATCATATTAGTGAAAAGGCAAACGCGGTGCTCTACACTGACCCAATTATACCGCTTTTCTCATACTGTGGGCCACTAGAGCGGATAAGCAGAGAGGGTGGGCTGATTCACCACAAACAAACCCCAGTAACCGTGATCCGATTGCCAAAAAGGAAAAGTTCCATTTGGGTTTATTTTGGCACATGTAGATTATTGGAGTTTCTTGGCTTATTTGAGCGCCATGTAACTGAATGTCAGTAAAGTGGTTAAGTTAAAATGCAGTGGGCTCTGGAAGACTGTGCATGTGTGCAGTGGATGGACATAGCGGGCTCGGTGGTGCGTGTGTCCCCGGGTCACTTTCCTCCGGCTCGTCATGAAGAGATTCATCGGTGTGCCGCAGCTAGCCGTGATTCTGCTCTACATTCCTCTCATACAGGTAACTGCATGAGTCCCTTATAAGTTTACCATGGTAAACCGTTACTAAAGTTATTCAAGTCACTGGCTTAGAAGTCAAATTAATGTGGTACTTTAGCGTAAGACACCTTAAGAGTATCCCTGTCAGTTTTCATTTCTGCAGTTAAATGGAACTGCATCAGGGTTTTTTGTTTGTTTGTTTGTTTGTTAATATTTATATAGAGATATAGATAGAGTGGTGGCTTATACCAATTTAGCCTACTATAGATAACTAAATTAACTTATTTAGGAGGTGAGAAGCACTGGGGGGATATATATAATATATAATTTTATTTATTTTATTTTTTATTCAGTACAAGTATCTAAACCTTCTTAAAATTTAGATTTTGATGAGTTAATTAAGATTAAGTTATGCTCTCTAAAAAAAACTAAAAAAAAACGTATTTTTAACATTGTTAATTATTGCTTAAAACAAGAGAAAATATCTGCTAAAGGGGTAAGAAAAGTAATCTTAATTCAAAGGGCAAACATTATTTCTTGTCCCATTTTTCTTAAGCAAAAACTTAATATTTTGTAATGCTTCAAGTGAACGTAGCTTGATTTTAAGATTCGTAATGGGGAAAATGACAAAAATACAAAGGAATTTATTTGAGGTGAACCGGTGTATTGTAGAACAGATTTATTTAGCTTAATTGTATTAAACTCCACTAAAAATAAAATTTTCGTTCTTCGCGCTTGTTGGTTCGTTTATGTAAATAGAAATGACAAAAGGAAATCGCTTGTGATAAACTGGATGCTTCACAATCTGATTGTGTTCTATAAATCAGTGTTATGTATTCCTAAAGTTGTCATTGCATAATATTTTTAATTGGTAAATGTCGTTTCCCCATGTAAAGTTTCTTTCTCTTTCCATCCTCTTAAAGCGATGGATAATTTGACAGTTTGTAAACCGAATTAATCATTGAGCCTTATTTAATCAGTGCGGTCCATTCAACTAATGCAGATGTTCAATGCTTTAGATATGGGCAGTATTTTAATTAAATGAATTTAAAATGCATATTTAATTACTTGGACAAAAAAAATCAAATGTAATTTGTAATTAAATGCTTTGAGAGGCAGTATTTGACCTACTTAATCAAGTAGGTTACTTTATTCTCAGATAATACAACCACTTTCTTCACCTGTGTTACTAGTACGGCCAGCTATAGCCTATCACAGTTTTTGGCTGATGCAAGTGAATCATGACATCCTGTTGGATCCATAGGTGGCGTCTTAAAGGGGTCATATAATGCTTTTTTTTAAAGATCATTATTTGGTGTAACAGAATGTTAACATGCTTTAATGTTCAAATACTGTACATTATTGTAGGTCCTCTATGCCCCGCCTCTCTCAAACGCTTAGTTTTCTACAAAATCCCTCCTTCCGACAAGCGCAGTCTGCTCTGATTGGCCAGCTGACCCAGTGCATTGTGATTGGCCGAACACCACAAGCACTCGTCAAAAATGTAACGCCCCTTACCATAATCGCGAGCTTCATCTTTCAAAATAAATGTAAAGACCGAGCCCGAAAGGGGAACAGAGTCGCGTGACAGACACAGTGATGAAGCTGGTATGTGTTTGCAGCACACAAGCCACGGTTAAGACAGCTGACTCCACTGTGATGTGACCCCCCCTCTCTCACTCACTGACTCACTCTCACACGATACGCAAAACTGCGCATTTAAACAGTCAATAGCAAATCTTAAACTAATAACAAAACAGTAGCTGATTCAGAAGCGCCAGATTGTCATAGCAAAGTCAGAATGACCTCCTCTCCTAGGCTCACGAAACGGTCGTCCATAAAATGCATTGCTGTTCTGTTGTTAGTAATCTTAAAGATTCCTAAATGCATCTACTTCCGGAAGGCCAAATAAAGTGCTTTTGCTTTCGTCTAGAAACACACAGCGTCTCCCTGACATGCTGCTTCAACACTAACTGCGCTTACTGAAACCACGCCTTCTTTCTTTGCGTGCACATTTGGGGGGCATTATGCTAATATTTCCACATAGTGAGGTAGATATGTGGGGGCATGTTAGAACGAGCCGTTTTAGGGGGGCGTGGCAGAGTCTTAACTTTGATAAAGAATATCTCTTTGGTTTTGAGACTTTAGTCTTTGCAACTTCAGGGATCTTATCTATGCACAATCAGCTTGTAACACTCCAAAGAGAAAGGAAAATCATATGACCCCTTTAAAGGGGTAGTTCACCCAAAAATAAATTCTGCCAAAAAATCAAAAAGATCTTCATTTCTGTTCGGAAGAGGATTGAAGGTCTTACGGGTGTGAAACAACATGAGGTTGTGTAATTCATGACTATTTCCATTTTTGGGTGAACTATCCCTTTAATTCGTCCATGGTTCCATCTTCCAACTGGGGGGAAAACCATGAAAGAATCTGTTTTGGTGTTCCATGCAAACTGGCGAAGTATGTTCTAAAATATATACGATCAGATAGTGCTCACTGAGTGTTATTACAGGACGGAAGAAAAAGCTGCTCTAGAACATTGCTCAGGGATTTGTAACAAAATACTTTGGCATATTTGAGCCCATATCTGGACATAAGGACGAGTCTTTAAAGAAGATTCCTGACGTTTGTAAGAAGGGTGTGTGACAGATCTTGTGTCCAGAGGTCTCTCTCAGGTCCTGTGTTTTGCAGGGAGTGTTCTCGTTTGGCTTTCATCCTCCAGTGTTCAGTATCCGTGGTAATTAAGCAGCCGTCATTCTGAGCAGAGAAAAACATTTCTGGAAATAGCAGTTACAGTGTGGAAATGGGTGAAAGTCTTGGGTTTATAGTCCATAAACTGCACCTTTTTCTGCTATTGAACAAGCACATCATTATTTTTTTTTAAACCTGAAAGTTGTCCATATGATCTGTGCACTTTATGCATAAGTCATATGATAGTTTGTGTGAGCAATTGACCCAAATTAAGTCTTTATTCATTGATAAGCATATTATTCTGAATGAAATTCAAGTTTCCTACTAATTTTGGGTGCTGCTTCCAAAAATAGTGTCGGTTTTGCTCTTTCACATCACACTTTCTCAAAATATGAGTTTTTTTTTATTTTTATGCTTTTACAAGCATTTTTGTGGTGAGGAAGTCTTGCGTTCTCCCTTAATCGGCAGAAAAACGGCACGCACACGATTCCTGTCTGAATCGGAGCCAAATTGCATCTATTTGATCAGTTCTCAGCCCGTGACATTATTTGATGCCTAATCCTGATTTCATGCTCAGGATTATGATCCAGCGACAGAAGAAAATGCAAGCATAAGTTTACCGCATACGACCAACCACAGAAAAGCACAGATTTTGTGGACGGGCTTATTTATATTAAGTTCTTTGGCGTATTTGAGCATTTTCCCACTCCTTTGCAAAATTGTAAGTTACGTGATACATTTTAAATACTATAAAGACTACTTCAAAACTGACATTTGACTGATTTTATAATTTTTGATAAGTGCAGAAAAACTGGTACATATAATCAGAAAATCTTCATTATTTTGGGGGGAAAAAAACTTGTTTATAAATTAAGTTCTTTGACATTTAAATGGAGTATATGAACATTTGTCCATTTTCTTTGCAGGTTGTAAGGTAAATACATTTTGAATATATATATTTATTATTTTTTTTTTTTTTTAAATCTTTTTAGGAACAACCTCTATCTATCACCATACACACACACACACACAAGGCATCCACTTAGGAAAACAATCGCAGTGATGTCGTCATAATAAAAATTAATTAATACTTGAATCCAACCAAGAGGATTGGCATCTGTTGCAATTGGGGAGTATTTTTTATTTTTTTTCCCCATGACACATTTCTTTAAAGACAACCGTTTCTTATCGGTTGGTGGCTCTTCTTTGAGCCAGTTTATGGTAATAGGTTTTTTTTTTCGGGTTTTTTTTCAGCTACAAAAAGTATTTGGAGTAAATATTTTCCCTCCTTATATTCCACATCTTTTACATTGGTTTCAAGAATAGCCTTTTTTTTCATAATTTTTTAATTCAGCATACCGTAATTGGGTCATATTAGCCCTTTTTGCAAATCAGCAGAAATAATTTTTCTAGAAGCAGGGTTGTGTTTTATGAAATCTTGAAAATGTCATGTTGATGCACTGCAGCAGGTTTGAATGTTTCCTGAGTGTCACAAACAAAAGTCACACTAATTTGAACAAGTGGAATGAAGGTCTGAGAGCTGCAGCTTTTACTGTCATACTTTTATGGTATTGTTTGACAGTTGTATGGAAAAGTGTTGCAGATTATTCAGTTTTCAGTGAAGTCGCCTTTTATTTATAAAGTGCTTTTAACAATACAGATTGTCAAAGCAACCGTACAACATTAATCAGGAAAATAGTGTCAATAATGCAACGTGACAATAGTAAACACTCATTTTTCAGTTAAAGGCAGTTCATCATTGAATTCAGTGATGTCATCATCCAGCTCAGTTCAGTTTAAATAATATCTTTGCAATCATGTCAACGATATCGCCGGAAATGAAGTGTCCCCAACTAAACAAGCCCGAGGCGACAGCGGCAAGGAACCAAAACTCCATCGGTGACAGAATGGAGAAAAAAACCTTGGGAGAAACCAGGCTCAGTCGGGGGACAAGTTCTCCTCTGACCAGACAAAACCAGCAGTTCAACTTCAGGCTGCAGCAAAGTCACATTGTGCAGAGGACTCATCTGGTTCTTATCGTCTTGTCCTGGTGGCCGTCTGAGACAAGGTCTTTACAGGGGATCTGTATCTGGGGCTCATCTAGTTGTCCTGGTCTCCGCTGTCTTTCAGGGCTGTAGAGGTTCTCTCTAGGTGCTGATCTATCATCTGGTCTGAATACGTACTGGATCCGGGTGACTGCAGTGACCATCTGATCTG